GCAGGCGGTGGACCCCATATGAAGTGGTACTGAAGTGAGGTAGTCCAATACTTAGGGCCGAGGAGGGCGTTGTAGGCCTTACCCCCACCTATGGCCAGGCGGGTGGCTACCAGACAATCACGCTGGCCTCCCTGATCGTGCCACGGCTGCTCGCGTACCATCTCACATATCAGCCCTGCCGCCGGTCAGCGTAGTAAACGAGGGTCAACCTATTAATCCCTAGCCTAACCAAGAGCGCGATATCAGGCCGGACGCCTGCGTCCGCGGTACGATCAAAAGGGGCGAAATCACACTCGCGCCTTGAAACTGCGCGCCCACTCACCCTACCTACTTAGACAACCTTGGTCCATACACAGGTAGCCGTTTGAACACACAAGCCAGGACCATCGGCCCGGTGTCACTTCAAAATACCAGGGGGAATACCCTTGCAAGGGTATCCGCGCCGACAGCCTACCAGACTATATTAAGCGACGTCCCCGTCGCTTCGCAAGATCAAAAATCTATCAATCCTTCCATACACAACCATGCTGACGAGAAGAACCAATCCGATCAGCCAACAGACTCAGGTTCGAGGCCCCCAACGGTCCATGCCCACACAACTATATGCTGCCAGCGTTTCAACATGGGTCTCCATTGTCCTTACACTAGGATGCTGGTGTACTACGCATCAGTACTACAGCATAAGTTTCAAAAGACCCTCATACTTGTCCTCGCCCCTTTGTCATAGACAAACGTCGGCCTCTCATTGAGTGTCCCCAGCCCTTACCTGGTAAGCAGGTCATAACTGGGGACGTGGGCCCTAACCGAGACCTTTGAAGGCTTTTGCCTTTCTCTCAAGAAACTCCTCACAGTCAGACACATATTTGTGGACACCCTTAAATCTCTCTCAGCATCTTCCGTAGTCTAGTACGGAAGCGTTAGGTCTCCATCTTGGCCCACCATAGTCTGGGCGATGAGGCCAGATCTACGGCCCACTGCGTTGTTATTCTAGCGGTCGTGCCCTCGCAGGTTGCGCCACGATAGACTTTCTCCTGATAAGCACCCAATCAGGACTTCCCAAAAGGACTCATATGACTCGACTCCTATCCCAGGCCGTTCCACAGGGGTAAAACCTTCCCGGACGGCCACACCCTTTAAGTCTTTACTCCTGTGGTCAGACGTGGGCCCGCGGCCAAGTTGTGCCGACCCGCGGCCATCCCTAGGGGTTGCGCCCTAGTGGTGCCAAAACTTAACCGTTTAGCTTGGTCTTCCTTATGTGTCATGAGACTAACACAAGTGGTCGGGCGGTGCGTCGCAACAAATACAAGCCTATTGCAGGAATGCGCATAGGCTTGTCACACCTGACAGGCATTTACCAGCTCTCTGTGGGACAACACAGCGAGGATATGGCCACCTCTCCACATTCACAACCACAAGGCATCGCCAGATCCACCAGGCCGTGACTCCCTAACTTGATCAGGGTAGGAGGGTCACACACCTAAGGGATACCTCTCAAAAGCAAACATTTTTGCGACATTCTCAAGAGTTTTCACCGAGTGGCCAGTAAAACCTGGTTTCTTTCGTAAGTCTTTCAGCTTACCAACCCAGTTTTTCATGCCATCAGATTTATGACTCATCCTCCCTATAGGGGATGTCTCACTCAATAGGTCTGTCAGCCATCCCTCTCTTCCTTAGGATGGGTTGTCACATGACCTGTGTAAAACATCTTCCTTTTCTGGGAATACGCCTCCCAAATAATTCATAGTGTACAATTCAATCATGACAACAGTACAATACAAGGGGCCAGCTTATGGGTCCCTAATACAACTTAGATACTTAAACATTTGGCATGATAAGCTCTCGAGTCCCAAGGACTCATAGACCCTTTTGGATTCACAAGGCAGACTGCGCTCCCTCTCCTTATACTCGGATCTAGCATCTGCCCATGGGCGGGTCGCATGAGTATACCGAGGAGTAGACAGTTTACATTCACTCACAAGGCATAAACATATGAGTTGTTTGTTACACAAATCCCACACAAATTATCATACATCGAAAAGCCACACATGTGAGAGGGAGAGCGATCGTCATACACAGGGAAATAGTCTCAAAACCTCGCTCAGTATATACCAAACAATAGAATATCTCGCAAAACTCAATATCAATACTCAAGTGTTCAGTCCCCTCTCATATCCAGTGGGTTCATACCCTAAGTGTTACTAACTCTCACACCACCTATAGGCAGACACTGATCCCAAAACAAAATGAAATACAATTTGGTGTCCTAAGTATCACACAACTGAGTCTTAGTCCTCGGGACCACAACACAGACAGAAACTCAAAACCTTACTGTACACTGGTCCTTGGTCGCACATAACTTCCTAAAATACATGTATCTGACCCGCAATACCCTATGCCCTTGACTGACTCTTTCTACATACAGAAAATACCTCACCACTACTGGCGTGCAAGTGAACCAGCCCCTCACTCGCTCATCTCCTTCTGGTTTTGCCTATACAACTGGGCCCGACCCCCATCCGGAGCCCTCTCTACCACTCGGCCCTGTCTATCATACATCTTGCCACCTTCTTCAGTAACCCGTCCCTCAGCCTTGTCCTTGAGGAACTTAGGGGCATCCAGGGCCCTATACACGATATCCAAGAAGTAGAAGCACATGGCCCCTGACTTCCTCTGAAATCTCTTCTTCCTTTTCTGGGTTCCTGGCGACGGAGGCGCCTCTCCCTTCTCCTTACTCACTTCATGACTCTGGGGCAGGTGCCACGACCCTTCAGCTTCCCCTTCGATTCCATGGGCACTTGATTCCCCTTGCTGCATTTCTCTCTCGGGTTGGTACTCAGGGGTATCCAATCTCAGTGGCTGGCCCTCGCGGGTCACCTCCAATATGGCTTCCTCCTCCCCCTCTCTGGCCCTCGGAGCCTGGGGAGTAGTGGCTCTAGTAGGCTGGCTCGTGGCCTCCTGCTGTCGCCGCTCAGTAGTCGGTCCTCCCGAATCTGTCCCAGTGGCCCATGAGCCTAGCTGTGCTCTCAATTCCCCCATCTCTGGCTCATGTTCCGGGGTCATCTGCTCTCGAGGCTCCTCTGGCGGCATATCCACTTCCAACAACTCGTCCAAGCGGGATGGCTCCTTCCCCTGTGCCTCAAGTCGTGGAGGCTCCATCGCTCCAGTGAGAGTCCCCTCCTGTACGTCCAGAAGGATTGTCAGTGACTCCTCTGCCTCCCCCTCTCCTACTGATGCAGGTTGGGGTTCTCAGGTCAGCGCCTCCATAGGAGCATCTGCTGAGGTAGCGGCCTCCTGCTGTGAAGTGAGCTCAGTGGGAGCCTTGAACTCAAAGCTTCCCTTGTTGGCTTCCTTCCTTGCCTCTGCCTCAGCTGGGTCCAGAAATACCTTCCCCAACTTCTCTTGCTGAGATGCCTCTGTTGCCTCCTCTTGGCCAAACAGCCCTTGCACCTCCTTGCCTTGGATGCCATACCTGCTCTGCTTAGTCCAGTCGATAACCTTGGCGGCGGTAAGTATTTCCACTGCGGCCGCCATTTCCTTGAGCTTCGCCTCCCACTCAGCCTCCTTCGCCTCCAAACGAGCTTGCCTGACCCTGCTCTCGGCCCTCTCCTCTGCGAGTTGGGCAGTCAACTGTTCCACCTCGTCTTTCCTGAGAGCGAACTCATCACTAAGCAGGGAGTACCTTTGAAAGGCCTCGATGGATGTTTACTTTATCTCCTTGTCCACCCACTCGATAGCCCTTCTAGTGGCGGCAAAACCCATCTCCCCGACCTCTATCGCCTTGTCCGCACCCTCAATCGCCTGGCCCGCCTCTCGTGCCCTCTGGCGAGCTGCCTCTCTCCGCCCCTCATATCTGGCCCATAACTCGTCAATCCTCTCTTCACTTGTCTTTGGGGCGACTGGTGGCCTTGGCGCTATCCCTGCAGCCTCCATCCTGTCCCTGCGCTCATGTATTTCCTCAAGGCGAGCTCATACCCTAGCACGCTTTGCCTGGGCTGCTTTGTCTGGCTCCTTTCCCATGCCTGCCTCCGCAACTTCCCCAGTCGCAGCCTGCGAACCCTCCCCTAGCTCAGTATCCGCTGGCCCCGATGATGGCCCAACCAGGATGGGCTCTTCAATGTAAGGGTGCTCGGCTGCGTGCGCGGCTAAACGTGAGTCGACAACCAGGCGGGGCTCCGTCCTCCACCCCTCCACTGGCCTTCTCGCCTCAACCTCCTGCCTGGGTGACATAGTGGCCTCTGGTGGTGGTACTGGGGCCTCCTGGCTGTCTGACTTCGCGACGCCCCATGGCCAGGACCGTCGTGTCTGAGCTCGAGCTGGGGAGTCAGGGGGAGTATCACCTTCCACCACAATGACATCTTACGCACCTACCCCCTTCAATCCGAGCGGCTCTGTCTCGGGTTCTGGGCGAGTCTTCCCTCCCCCTGATGGGTCCCGTGGGGCTTTCTCCTGCTGAAGGGGCCTCCCACCGGGACGCGTCCAAGTGGGCCTCCAGACTCCTGAAAGGCGTTGCTGGTACCTCGCTCTCCCTCTGCTCTGGTGCCTGTGGCGAGGGCCCCAGTAGGTCATCCTCTGTAACTTGGTGGAACTCCACCTGCCTGAGGCCACAAGCAAGGAAGGACTCGCCTTCCCTAGCTGGCCCTGCTTGTCCTCCTTCTCGTTGTGCCAGGGCCTTCCGGCCACCTCTCGACGTCACCGGCTCTCTTGCCTCCAAATCCCTTAACCTCTTGCTTCGCTGCCTTCTATCAACTCTTGGTTCTGGCCTCTCTGGTTCCGTTCGCCGAAACGCCACCCACAGGTGAGCCCGACAGTCCTCCCAATCTTGTACCCACCTCTGGATCTGTTTTGCCAACTGGCGCTCCGCTCCCCTGGTCCAAATGAGTAGCGCCTACACCCACTCATCCTTTGGAATCCCCTGATCGCTCATATACTGTTCATATGTCGGGATGAATTCCTCCACGTTCCCTTCCTCCAAGGGGATAGGCAGCCCATCATTTCCCAAAGGTGAAACTCTCAATCTCTGCATCCTTGTCTCTACCTCCGACCATGTTAGGGCCTCCTCCTTGATCTGTGCAATGGGCTCCTCGAACCTCCCAACTCCCCTCAAGTGACGTATTCTCTCGGCCACGTCCCATCCTCTCTGGGTTGCATGCTCTCGGTAGGCGTCCAGGAAGAGCTCGATGTTGTCGTCGTCAAACACGGGTGTAGGCTCCCTCCTGAAGGGCCCATGCCGCTCCTCCCCTCCGGATGCCCCGAGAGGTCTCTGTCGTGGCCGCGTGCCCCGCCCGCCCCTCTGCATGGCTGCCTTCTAGAAAGTCAGACCTGCACATCAGGCGAAACGAAACAAACAGGCACACGACAGGATCAGCATATGGGTCCAGCAGTCTTCAGAGCAGATGTACACCCAATCTCAGACACATCAAGCCTTTCTTCGCTTCCAATCATGGCATGCAATACTTAGGACGAGGGTCTACTCTAGGAGGGATCACAGCGACTGGGAGGGATTGCGGCTTTACCTATTCCCTGGCCACAAACTTTTTCAGCCTCGTCCCGGATACCCAACCATCTCTTGTCAAGTTTCCTTGACCACTGCTTTTCCAGGGATGAGTCGTATAGTAGTACACTATCTCCCACTGCCAAGGGCTCTTTTCGCACCCGGGCCATTTGATCCCACCTCATCTTATCCTCCATGCGGCTTCTCTCTACCTGACCAGCAGCCTCTTGCAATCTTTCCTCGGCCGCTCCTACTTGCCATGCCCGGATATCGAGCAGCTCTTCGAAGGACAGGTTTACTTCCAAGTCCTGGTGCCTCCACGTTTTCATAAAGCTTTCTATAGGGAAGGTGGCGTGCCTCCCATACCATAGCGTGGCTGGCGCATACTTGGTAGTCCTCTTCACCGTAATATTCTCCACCAAAAAAGCCGCTCGCAGGAATTTCGGCCACTGACCAGGTTTGCCCTCCGTCCACTTAGCCAAGAGATTTGTGATGGTACTGTGCCCCCTCTCCACAAGAGCGTTTGCTTGAGGGTGCGCGGCCGTAGTATGGTTGGCCACTACCCCATTACCCAGCAAGCAGGGTCCGCACCTCACTGCAGGTAAACTCTCACCCTTGATCCATCACGAACTCCTTGACAAAAGGATAGCGCAGGTAATACTCCTCGATGCAATTCGCCAAAACTGGGCCAGTCTTCGTCCGGATGACCCACCCGTCTACAAACCCGGTGAGATTGTCGCGTGCATCGAAGATGTAGTTGCACCCATTTTCCCCCATTGGCATAAACAGCAGGTCCAGGTGTACAACTGCACCCACTTCCTTTTCCAACCTTGGGTGCAGGGGCTCTCCCGGCCTTTGCGCTGACCTTTCCTGGCAAGGTACACAGGATTGGCAGTACTTGATGACCATCGTCAGCATTCCATCCCAATGGAAGAGCTCGCTTATCTTTGCGCATGTGGCACTCACCCCTCTGTGCCCACCTGCTATATCATCATGTAATGCCGCTATGATGTCCAACTGTTGGTTCCTCCCGCACACAATCCGCTTGGGATTCCCGACTTGCCGCTTTATAAACAGATGTCCATCTCTCACCACGTAGAGGTGACTCATCTTCTGCGCCTTGTCGCTAGCGTCCCTGTTCCTCATCTCACAGGATAGAAGTAGGCCCAACTCGAGATAGATCCTATTGTATTCCTCTGCCCGGAACGCCTCCTTAATCTCTCCCTCTTCGAACTCGTCGTCTTGGATTTCAGGAATTAGGATTTTGTTCTCCTCATAACTAAACGAACCCCTTTGGTCGATGTCTCCTTGCAGGAGCGTATTAGTGAGCAGATACATCCCTCCCATTAGCTGCTCATGCTCCTCTACATAAGTGGGCCCTTCCTCTATTGTCCTCACCTCTTCCACCAAGCCATGTGTCCCTGCCAGTGCCAACTTCATCATCCACTGAGTGTCCTTGCCTCCCCACGGATCTTCTTCCTGAAATCGCTTAAGGACTAAGTCGGCCTTCCGCTCATATCCTCTTGGTGTTATCCATATGGGATAGCTAACACAACTGGGTACTCGCAGCGCCCACTTGTCTATATGGAGTCGCACATCTTCTTCCTGATCCAGGAACCCGTTGACAGGTGGGGTGTCTTCGGTCGACTCCTGATCCGCACTTTCCCATTTGCCGCGGCTCAAGCCATCAACCCTATTCTTGTTTCACGGAATCCTTTTCAGCTCAAAATTAAACATCCAAATGTACGTCAACCATCGAGCGACGCTTGGGTCAGATGGTGTATAATTCTTCAAAGAGCAGGCCATCGCTGTAGGGTCCACCCTCAATATAAATCTCCTGCCGAAGACATAATCCCGGAAGACCCTTAGGCAATGGAGTATCGCAAGCGTCTCCTTCTTAAACTGAGAGTAGTTCCTTTCAGTCGTGTTAAGAGTACGGCTTTCGAATCTTAGCGGCCTCTCCTTTCCCTCGGCATCTGCCTGGATCAAAACCCCTCCCAATGCAGTTGGCCCAGCGGCTGTCCCGATGATGAATGGTTTCTGTTTAGTCCCTTCATAATTTGACGCCCTTAGCACCAACCCTCCTTCCCTGAACTCTCCCTTCATCCTGGTTACCGCTTCTTCCTGGTCTTCGCCCCAAACCCACTCCTGGTGCTGGCGCACTAGCTTCCTTAAGTGCTCAGTCTTGGCGGCGAAGTCTTTCACGAAGCTCCCCCAAAATCCGCAAGTGCCAAGAAAGCTTCTCACATCCGTTATAGTCTGGAAAGGCACCGACCACTCTAAGATCTTGACTGTCTTCTTCACATCTGGCTTCTGGCCCTTGTCATTGCAGACAAACCCTAGGATATGCCTCACTCGATCGAGATCCTGGATATGCCTCCAGGCGAAACGTCTCACTCCGGGCCGCACCTCGTCCTCCTCTTTCTCTTTTGGCCCTTTGACCGCCAAGTCGTCGATGTAGGGCTGGGTGATGTGCAGGCCGACTGTTTGCATGGCCCTGATCATATGTCTCTGCACCATCGCCACCGCATTCGTCCAACCCTGGGGGCCACATTCATGTGGATTAGCCCTCTTGGAGTGTGCATTGTCGTTACCAGTCTATTGGGCGGGTAAACAGGAAACTGATCATACCCGGAATAGAGGTCTATAAGTGAGATTATAGGCCTCCCCGCGCATGACTCTGAAAGTGCATCTGCGTTCGGCAAGCCTCCCGCATCTGGCACCGTTACTGCATTTAGTCGCTGCAGATCCTGTACCCACCGTAGCGTCCCGTTCGGCTTAATAAAGCAGAACCAAGGGGAAGCATACGGACCGCTAGAATAACCGGCAACATGCGTGCGCAGCTTGCCATCCAGATAGTCCACCACCATCTTCTCCTCATCGGGGTTTGGGTATCGCGCACCCCTCAAATTCCAAGGCTCATGGGGGACGGTGTGGATCCGGATCATCGGGATCTTATCCACATCCAGCCTCCCTCGCTGGTCATCATTAAAGGCGTAGGCGCGATGCCTCTTCTTCATCAACTGCACCATCAGCATCCTTTCCTAAGGCGAGAAAAACCCTGGCTCCCTGACTATTAACTCTCCTTCATTTCCATCATTGATACGACATGGACCCCTCAGTGCCTATTCTTGCATTCTCCGTATCAATCCTCGCTCCCGCTCGTAATACGCTTCTTCATCTTTCGTAACGAGCACGGAAACAGGGCGACACTTCTTATCTACCGTTTTGTACCGCCTTTGGCGCCCTGCTTGAGCCATCCCCTAAAAAAGGCCGGCTTGTCGTTTGCGCCTGTGCCATCGCAGACCCTTTCTTCCCTCCAGGAAGCCGATAGATAAGCTCCACTTCTCCTGCCTGTGGGCTCTCCAAGACATGCTCTCTCAATGCCTTGATGGCCTTCGGGTTCGCCATCTCATGTGCCGCCACGATCTCCATAGCCTTACTTACATCCTTAAGGCTTAGTGACAGCACCTCCGCCCAGCTCCCTCCTCGGATTCCTCCGCGAGCCTCCGCCGCTCGTTCTCCGATTCCACATAGGTGAACGAGCCGAGGTTAGGCCTATTCCGCTCGCTCCCTGGCCCCATGTTCCGGCAGGTGACAACTTCATAGTTCCCACAAGCTGGATCACTCAGGAGTAATATCATCATTCCGTCGTGCTTGTTGAAGATCAGGGTCTCCGTTCTGCACATGAACGATCTGTCCAGAAGGATGGGATGATCCACATCTGGCATAACGAAAAAGCACGTCCTTGCTCGCACCTTGCCAATCTCTATGATCACATTCGACGCGGTGCCGCAAAAAACTGCCTTGCAGTTAGCCCCGTGCAACACACCATGATCTGCACGGTCGATCTCCATCCCGAGCATGAGCGCATCTCTTTCCCTAATGATGTTCATTTCGGCGCCCGTATCCATCATTGCCACGCACTTCTTCTCTTTTACTACCAAGTCCACCAGTCCACATGCCGCGCACTTCCAGTCCATTCTTGTCCCAGCTTGTGTCCACCCCACTTCCCTGGGCAGGACAACACTCAAATGCACGTTGGGCACTAGCCTTCTAGACAATCGCTCTTTCAACTTTTCCCGAAGTCTTGGTGCGGACCCCAGAATGTCTTTTAAGTTCATAAGGTCGTTATGACCTTCAAGGAGTCGGTCCACCATCCTTTCCACATCAAAGTCCTTCTCCAGCCTGACCGTGTACTTTCTCTTCCTGGGCACTCCATCCTGTGTCTCTGGCTCGACTCTCTCCTGCGCCTCTTTTCTTTGAGCTCTCTGCTCCGTCCGCCGATCCTCCTCCTGACGGAGTTTCTCATCCTCCATGTCGTCATCCTCTTCCTCTTCTTCCTGGACCTCAACCACCTCCTTTCTACGCTCCGGCTCAGGTCTCTTCCGTGGGGGTGCCTGACTTGGCACTCGGCTTGGTGGCTGACTAGGGCCCGCCTTACTTTGGCTCCTGGTTTGAGTTGCTTGTGGCGCCCGCCCATGCGGGGTGGACGGCCTGAACATTATCCCTGACCTGGGGCCAGAGCCTGCCACGGCAACCCCGGGGCTACTCTGTTGTCCAGCTGCGGGCCCCGGCCCGGTCTCATAGAGGAAGACCTTTGGGAGGTCGGCTCTCCACCCTTGGACTTCATCACACAGCGTTTTCAGTCTCCGCTGGTACCTCCCAATTTTCTCCACCAAATCTTTCATCTTTTCGAGGGTGGTTACGGTCGGCTCCCCTTCATCCTCTCTCCCCTCATCATCTGACTCAACAATTATTGGCTCTTCCTTTATGGCCCCGACCTTTAATCGTTGCGTAACCTCCTCATTATCCCCCGTGATCTCTTCGATCCTTATGGCCGGGTCTTCCCTTTCCTGCCACATTCTAAACATGGTCGGGGCGGCCGATGGCCCTACCGCTGCCCGCCTGAGGGCCTCCTGCCTGATCCCTCCCGGGGTCCTGGGGTCAATGTGCTCCCCCCACTTGTCGTATATATCCCCATCCATACAAGAGGAAATAAGGCCCGCAAGCTCATCATCCCGCCGTTGCTGGCAGAACCGAATCGTGTGGCCTACAATGCCACAATGCCAGCAGGTCGCGTTCCGCCAGTCGAAGCGGGGTCTCTCATACCCTTGGCCTCCTTGCTGACTACCCTGGTCACATTGGCCTTGGCCCCCTTGGCTGTTTCACCTACCGCCACGTCCCCCTCCATTTCGGCCTCGTCCGCCACCCCCTCGGCCTCCTTGTCCCCGACCACCATTGCCCTGTCCACCTTGCCCTTGGCCTCCTCCTCCCGCCACACTAGCCTGCGATGCTTGCTGTTAGGGGGGAGGTTGGGCCGTGAATTGGCCTTGCGTCGTCGGGAAACTCGGCGGCCCTGCGCTCGTTGACGGACCCGAGAATGGAACCATCTCTCCAGTATGGGTTTGGCCCCCTCCACACGAGGAACAATGACTATAGTTGGGCCAGGGTGCCGCTTGACAATGTGGTACCCAATGTCCGCAGGCCGGGGGCGGCCCCATTGGCGCCGGCCCTGTCGATATGGGCGCGGTTACGGCGGCTACTGGTGGTGCAGCAATTGCCTGGGGGGCCTGTCCTTTGCCTGACCCTTGGCCACCCAGCAAAAGATTGCGTTGCTTCCGTTGGGCCTTAGTAAGGATTTGCGACCCCGTCTCCTCCCCCCTGTAATCCTTTTGCCCGGCGCCTTCATCCCCCACCTCTTTCCCTCGGCCTTGGACCACGGCTACCGCCTTTCTCTGCACCTCGGCATCCTGGCCATAGCCTAATGCCGCAAGTACATCAGTGACGATCCTTTTTACTCCCGGGGTCCCTGATACAGTAGCGTCCCTTTCCTTCCTCTTCCTCCTTTGCAGGCGCATCTGATGTTGCTCTACCTGGTCTAAACTCCCATCCTCCACTCCTCTGTTGATGGTGGCCCAGGTAAGCTTTGCGCTGCCTCCTCCATGACTCATCAGTTCGGCTGCCTCTGATCCAGTAAGCAGTCCCAGAAAGATAGCGCACTGCCTCTCCTTAGAGATCCCGTGAACTTTCCTTGCCTTCCTTTTAAACTCTTGTACGAAGGCCCCTATGGTAAAGTCATCCTTGTTCATTCCCTCAAGATCTTGGATGGTAAGCAACCCATAAACCAACTGATACTTGCGCAACATGTTCTGCCTAAATCTTTCCCAACTGCCGTGGGCGGCATCCACAACCTTCTGCACCTCCTGATGGTGCCTATGGAGCACGTACCTCATGATACGCTGGAATTTCACCTCATCTGAAAATCCCACCATCGCCTGCTCCACCAGGTCTTGCCAGTCTGAGACCCTTCCCCATCAAAGTGGAAGGTCTCAACCCTCGGAACATTACTTGGGGTCTTCTCATGTCGATCTAGGGCTGCGATGAGGTCCTCGAGGGTCAGGACCCTTCCGGCTTCACCACCCTCCGGCATCTTGGTAGGCCTCCTTTTCCAAATTCCTGTTAAGAGGAAACCAAAGGCACGCACCTACTTAGCATCCTACTCCAACTTGGTCTAGCCCGGATTTCCTACCAAGCCTCACCCTCGACGTGAGTACTGTCACCCTTTACGCTCTTGCTAGAACCTTGTAGACAATCAAATACATATACAGGTGCTACTTTCCCTTTTTATACTTAGTACCTCATTACTTATCTTTCACTTCAATCACACTTATCACTCTCCTATGCCTATTTCTTACTTGTACCCGGATGTCGTTCCACCAGGGACAACGGTCAGAGTTGTCGAGCGGGGATCCCCGGGGGCAAAGCCGGTGTTAGGCTGCGGACCCCGGACCCCCGCGGCGGGGGCCATCCAACCCCGCCACCGCCGGACGACCTCCGCCGCCGCCCAGCCCCGGGTACCCCGCCGCCTAACCCCGCAGGCCCGCCACCGGCCCCGCAACCCCGCCCCCGCATCGCCCCCGCACCGCATTCCTGCCACCGCGACCCCGCCCGGGGAAGAACCCTGCCTCCGCAACC